CAGCATAGGTGCCTGGAGATTCACCGATCCAGATTTCTTCAATTTATTCCGATTTTCATTTGGTTTCGGGTATAGACTTCAACTTTTTCCCTTCTAAAGGACTCTCAAGCCCAACGCTTTATATTAACTTTATTAATTAGCCATGTCTACAAATAAGATTCTGAGGCGGAGATGGTGTAGTGACAAGTGGCGCGCTTACCATTCGCGCGGTCCGGGTTCGAATCCCGGGTCGACTCCCGCCCAGGCCAACCAAGCCTTCTACCCTCCGGGGACGGTAAATTGGTACCAGATTCGTCTGGGAGGATAAGAACACTGACTTGTACATCGGCTCCCTCCGCAAGTCATTGTATAGGCCACATCGCATTCAATAAGCCACTACGATTCTGAATGGAAGTAGAATGCGTGCCGCATCCCACAAAAGGATTGATCAACAGCGAAGACTTTATCCTTTTTCCTTATTATTCAGATTTTTGTAGGACCGAGGTAGTGCACTGGCACACCTCAGCAATTCACTTTCCGGAGGTCATATTCCGGATTAAATCCCGTGAAGCGTAGCCGAGCCTCCTAATACGGTCAACTAATATCAAGCTTATGTGATGAAAACACTGAAATCATTGAAATTTTCTTCAACTTTTTATCTTGTCTAGTCCTTCTGGGTTTTCCGGTCAGGACTGATTTGCCTTCTAAATGAACATTCTCTTTCGAGTTTTTCACAAACGTCATCGATTATCTTCTGACTGATGGGAGTACTTTTTGTGAATAGTAACATTCCAGTGAAAATGTCATCGCATCATAAATCACCCTACTTTCGTGTGTATAAGGCGCATTCCTCAGAGTCGCACGTCACAATGCTCGCGAAACTTTGGTAAACACAACAACAATTCATTCAAGGGCAGGAAGCGAGGATTCAAGTGCAATTTTAAATGACTTATATGATTCCGTTGCGTTTTCGGTGGAAGGAATCTTTTGGGAGAACTAGAGCTAGGGAGCTATTCACGTGGCGGCAATTCAGGAAAGAAATATCTTGCATAGAGCGAAATGGGGTGCTAATTCAAGAACGCCATCTCATTCTGCGTGTAGCTAAGGCTCCATGTTCCTGTTCTCCATCGTAGCCTGTCATAAAATAGTGGATTCCATATTGACTCGTGATAGAATTAGATCATCCTATTCAAAAAACGTGGAAGGTTTTATTCAGATAAAACGATGAGTAAGATAAGGAAGGAGATAGAACGGTAATATTTCAGTTCTTAGTCAAATAGGTCCCTATTTTACCGATGACCCGCTCCCAGTGCCCCTGGAGCGTTTGGACATATGTCTTTTCAAGTGCGAGTAGATTGCTCTTGATGCCAGTTTCAACGATCGACAAATTGTCGTAGCTTATGCCGTTGGACAGCGCCTTCTACTGACTAGAACAGTTGAAATCGCACGGTTGTATATTGGGCGAATAAGGCTATCGAACCCAGTTCTCAGAATAGTTTCTGCTGTAGCACTGCCCAATAATACGTTACTCGGGGCATAGCACTGTGACGAGCAATAGTGGCCCTTCTTGTAGTTGTGTGGTACCATCCATTTGTCGATCTGATTGTCGAGGAACAGACAATATACACCTACAGTGACAGAATTGTCTGTAGTGCCGCTTGAAAGTAACACTGCAGGAGTCTATTGCCATAATGATTATCCGCTTGGCCCACGTAACTCCCTTTGACAGGACTTGTGCTGCTTCTCATCTGCATTCATATAAAACTGGAACTTGTGAGTTTCGACTTTTAGTACAAGATCACCCGCATTTCGTTTAGGGCCACGGTGCGTTTTCACATTCGTGAATGACGTCTTAGGAGGATGATATCGCTGCTATGGGCATCGAATCTCTTCTGCGTTCGTGCTTCCACTGAAAAAACTATTGATGGCGGCTCCAAACACACGACCCTCTTGATCATCCTCAAGTTTTTCGGACAAACTCGTGCAAAGTTTGCAGGAGGGTTGCCACGCGGTGCGGGCATAAAAAAGTCTCCTCAGTAAATCAAACATCAGCGCTCGACTTATATTCCACCAGGCCATCAACCTTTTCTTGTGCGGATTATTCAAAGAAATGGGACCTGGTCGGAGACAATTTTATTTCCGCTCATCCTTCTCTGGAGCTCTGAACCAAGTCTTCCACGTTTTGTTTGGAGAGCACCATCATGTGCAACTATTAGGCTGGCCCAGGATAAATTTGAGCAGCGCACTTCCCCGTTATGACGCCCGATTCCATGATTCGGCGCTGATTTGGACCACCCATGTTCTTTTCAATTCCTGAAGACTTACTACTGTGGCTAGGCCAGCCAAGTTTCATACATACGTAGTTCTGAATCATGTAGAACCCAGTGCCATAGCCCCTTTGACCCCCTGCCATTCCTCTGTATATCTCCACGTTTTTAAATGGGATGACCTAAACTCGAAAGGGTTTAAGAATCCCTACTGTGGCATCAACGCAAACAGTTGTGCTGAGGCAAAGATTTTCCTCGACGGCATTGTTTAGCCTGTCAGAAGAAGTAGATGTGAGCTCAAAAGGCCGTCCTTCGAGGTGACTGCAAAGTCAAGAAGGTCAGAGTTCATGAAAACTTGAAAGTACTTCATCAAATACGTCTCTTTCTCTTAGATGCCGCTATTCCTCGCTTCGATTTACCTGCATAATCGTTGTCTATATGATGTATGTTACTGGCACGTTTTGTTATTGGTACATTTTTCATTATTTCAGTTGTATAAGCCTTGAAGGCGATGCAGCGGCTTGAGTGTCACGTAAAGAAGTATAACTGGGGGAAACGTGGCACTCAGAGCGAGGTGGCACGACTGTTTGCCGCTGGGCACAGGAACTTTGAAGTGGACGAAGATGAGACCTACGCTGAGGTAAGTCACAGGCAGTGCTTGAGTTGACCGCTTCCTTACTCACCCTTGCAATCAATTTTACTCCATCCGGAATGAGTATCCTTGAGAACGACATAGTTTTTCTCTCTCCGATAAGAAACTGTACTAGGATCGATTTTAGCTGGGCGCTGCGCAGTCTTGCCCATGACAGTGACCACGTATCGTCCTAGAAACTAATGGATCGTAGCCGCGACCCGCACCCGTCGCAGCTGATTGCTTTGCGAAGAGATAACAAGGGATGTTTACAGATGATTGTCTATTTCAGCTCTGGATGGGCACCCACCCAGATGGCCCCGCTGTGCTTTCGAACTCCGCCACGCGGCTGTCATCATTCATCGCCAAGAGCCATTCAGCCAGCTATCTGAGCAACAACAATTGGAAAGAAGATATTCACTTGCCTTTTATAATGAAAGTCATGTCTATAGCTCGATCCCTCAGTCTTCAAGTACATCCCAATAAGGTTTGTGCGGCTCTTTTACTAAAAGCTAGTAGTTTTCCTGTACAGGTACAGTTAGTTTCCTTACAAGAACCAGTTCCGACTGAGGTGAGGAGCATCCTTCAGTCTCTTTTTGGTATCAGCCACGTGATCTACTTCAAATCAAAATCGTGGTTAATTTCTGGGTACGATTTGGCTTATGACATGACCTACGGGTTCCATTTGATGTCATGTCAGTATTCGTACCTTACATCAGACACTGCTCATAGAAGAACGCGTGCGGCTAAGCGGTGAGCTTCCTTCGGCGTACGCGAACGCGCTGGCTCACTGAGGAAGCCGAGCCGTAGAGCCCCTTTCAAACGTGAGAGGACGAAATCAAACAGCGTGTGTAATATGGCTAGGTGCATGACTGTTCGTGCGGCTCACAGCATGCCTCTGATATGCTTCCATTCAGTGGTGAGCAAAAGGGTAGAGAGCACCTTCCTATCAGATC